GAGCAAAGCCGGTATGCCGCTTTAAAATGATTTACTGCTTTTGTTTGTGTCAAAATAAGCGCAACTATAGATCCAATTACTGTCTGTGTTGTCTGTGACACGGCATCAAAAAAATCCTAGACTTCCGCTTCCCCCAAATCTAGCATAGAAAAAGGAAAAAGAACGAGAAATCAGACGGTAAAAGAAAGCGTTTTTTAGCAAGGTGCAGTAACTGCACGCCTGAACGGGCCTGTCCACCAATAGGAAGGCAGGTGAAAAGCAGGCAATCGCCTGTGGCCGTCGGCTTGGTCTAGCGCAGCCAATCAAATCTAACAGAACGCGTGCCAAAATAGGTACAAATGCACCCCCGCCAGCTCGCTCCTTCGCTCGCTTGCCCATGCAAGACAAGCTGCAGGAAAATAGCAAGGCGTTCTTAGCAGGAGGAAAGTATATATGGGGGCAAACCGGTCAGATAGTCGACTCACAGTTCATATTCTCCGGGGTGTTTTGGGGTTAGTTAATAGGCTAATCCAGAGCTACAATTTAGAACTACAATCTACAACTGCAATCTACAAGCTAGAATTGCTTGCTTCTTCAACCGATGTCCATTCTCCGCGCAGGGCATTTCATGACTATTCCTCAGCCTTTGCTACAACCCCATGCCATCTCCTCCTTTAAAAAAAACGTCTGCATGTGACTCTTCTGACTAGGCTGTCTTCTGGCTTGGGGATTATTTGACTTACCGAAGTAAATTAATTCAGTGCGGCAAGCGAAAATCCACGGTCTTTCTCTACAACTGCGGAGTTCTTCAAGGGTCCACCTTATGCACTCACCTCTTTTCCCTCCACTCTGATGACCTTCGATTGCCAATTGGATGTTTGTTTGTAAAATACGCTGATGATACAGTTGTTGGTCACCCTATCAAAAGTCAGACGCATCCACAGGTACTGAAAGATGGTCGGGAGCACGCCTGAGCATGATCGTTACCCAAATGGTCTTCTGTTGAGTAACCGGAAGTCTGTCCAGTGCGTTTTCCGATTGCGACCCTCTTCTATTCCTGAATCCTTAGAAATCCTGCCCAATGAGGAATCCTCTTTCCGGTACCTTTTTCATTTACTCTTCATATGGAAACCCTTATGAATCAAATTTGTAAAATTGTGTCCGCCGGTTACGCCCATATCACACACTGCAAACCTAAACCTGGCGATTTATAGATGCCCGCATTCTCCTCCGTCATTCTCTACTGCTCTCAGGTTATTTCTCAAGACTTGTTTAAACAAGACCCGTTGATTTTGAAACGTACGCTCCGAATGCTCTCTTAAGCTACCGATGTTTCTTATGTCTTTTAGCTGATATTACAATACAACGACAGCAATTTTCTGATCGCATTCTTGACGAGGTTGCTCACCCACTTCACTATGAGTTAACAGCTGCAAATAAATCTTTCCGTACTACGCGCCGAAGTTTTCGATATCTGCCCTGCCCTATATCGGTATATCAGCCCTCTTTACTGCCATTCCTAGCATGCTACCTCACGTGTAAAGAAACAGGAATCCAGAAGTTGAGATTAGACCTGTCTCAATAATGGATATTGAGAATTTGGTGTAAAACCCTCCAGATTTTTGAGTGTTTTACTAACTTCTCTCTTGGTCTCAGTGAAGGGAGCCATATTTTGCAGAAAATTTTGCATGTTTACCTTCAAAATAAAGCGTATTTCGCTCACTCTCTTAGTTCACCTTAAGTTAGTTGTGCATAGCCTCATGACTAATGTTGACCCTCAAGATAATCCGTAAAGAAAAACATCATTCCAGCAGAGGCTGTCTCCCAGTGCTCCGAAGTGGTAATATTGGCCAATTCCAGCGTGGGTTAAAAGTCTAGCGGTAACGCAGTGGCAGTTGTGAAAGAGATAGGAAAAAAGACATGCCCGTGGATGCGATATGATCATTCAATCCAAATGGCCTAAAAAGCCCTTGGAGTTACTCTCTTTTTATTGAGGATGAGATTTAGACAGCCAGTACACTATCCTACTCTCAACCTCACTTTGGGGCCTATGTGTTGGATGAGGTATTCGTCCGGATTCCACTGTAACAGTTTGCAGTAGAAGGATGTCTGGATGCAGGTTTTTATAACGAGCTGTGAGCTGCTCGGGCCAGGCTCGCAGTCAATCAATAGGTTCAGCGACTTGCCGTTCCGTAGTGAGACTACCTGAAGAGGAGAATCAGTCACCTGGGAAGAGCCGGGCCCAGCAACAACTCCGATGACAGCTAACGTAGCGGTCGCGTAATTATCAAGCGCACATTCAACACGAATGACGAAATGGCGGCAATTATTGACTCATCATCTCACTAATTACGACCGCTAGCGGTGACTACGGGAGCTGCTAACTATAGTGCGCATGCGGTCGTGTGGCCGCTACGAACTATAAACACTGCGTAATTTGTGCATGTACCACGCTATTCTATGGTTACCTCTGATGAAGGGTTCTCGACAGAATCCGAAACGTCAGGCATTTAAACTTCTTGTTCCAGCGATCGCCTTTTTTAGGTCTGAACTATCCAGTCTACGCGAGGTGCGTCAGAGCCGCGGAGGAGTAGTGCGTTTGTGGCTTCATATTCTAAACTTATTAACCCCATATCGGAGGGTTGTTTCGAGCTTGAAATTTGACAGACAACACAGAAGCTGATCCTGGTTGAACATGAAATAATGACAATAATTCGTATTACATCGTATAGTTCCGGTTGACCACAGGAAAATTCCTTTGGTACATAAATACTAACGTCCCATTTTTTTACATCTAAATCTGCCACAAATGACGTCCTGCGATCATAATTGACAACCGTGAACTCGAGTGCAGGATGCCGGACCCCTCAAACGTGTGACAAAAATGGCAACGCTCATAAAGTTGCGATAAAATAACTGTGCCGCAGATATTATCCGGTTATCTTCAACATATTTGAGCACAAACCAATCTTACCCATACAACATACCTATATGGCATCTACTATTCGGGTAGCTTCGCAAGTCTGGGAGATGCTTATCGTGCAAAGCCCTAATTACTGACGCTAGCTTTAGGGAAATAAGCAAATAACTTAGTCTCATAAAAAAATTGGTGCGGAATAGTAGGTTTTACTTCACCCCATGGCCGATGACAGGTCTAACTGGTCAAATCTGTAGAAAATGAAAATGGAACAGGTTTAGTTAAAAAGTCCGTTTGCACGCTATCGTGCCACAAACAGAAATGCTCGTATACCTCAGGCCCGAGTTCTTGCGTCTAGACCCCTACTAACAGTCCGCCAACAAGGTTTAGTGGTCGGACGAATGACAGAATGAATTTTATCTTCCATTAACAAGTTCTCGGCTGCTGACGCGAGTGATAATGATGATTACTTTCACCTTATTTTCATCAGTTCTGCATAGAGATCATATGACCATGAGTAGTTGATATACGAAGGATGACCAGCTACGGAATAAGCTGGTCAAAAAAACTCGGAAAAACAAGTGTTATATATACATATATAAGTTGACTCTCACCGGTTGAGAAGACGCGTTTTCGGGATCAACCGCACTAGCGCGAATGTTGGCGCTACCACCACCACCATCAGTAACATCAGCACTG